CTGAGGGATGCCTCGAGTCTAACGAGTTTGATAACCTTTGTTCTAAGCAATATGCCATGGCACAGTGTGCATGGATCCAAGCATTTCAAAATAATCCTTTTGGTTCTCCCTACCTTTCATATTGGAAATAAAAGAGTTTAAAGACACTGTATATTAAATCAGCAGCAACTATTTTTAAACAGTAAAAAAATTCAAGCTGAAAACCCCTTCTGCCCCAAATCACTGACTTGGAATAGATAGACTTGTCCACAAGAGCTTCTCCTTCAGCCCCTCTTTCCTCCTAAAATTTCTCACTGTGACTGGTACTGTCAGTGGTGACAACTAAAGGGATGCAGATGCAGAGGGCTCTTCATCAGCATTTTAAATGATGCACTGTCTAGATTCAGGCCCTGAGCATGAAAACATGAACTGGTTGTTAAAGTGCTGGTAGCTTGGCCACAGGAGCACCCCTTCCATTGCCCTCTCAGGTACAACCACATGAATTGTGGGATGGAAGGATACCACAGCCATTTTTTACACTGTAACTGCAATTAAAGGACGTCAAGCCGGTCTCTCTCTCAGAGCTCTGAAGGAGTAAGAGGCAAGAAGGCAGGGGTAGAAAAAGGAAAAGCACAAAGGAGAAATATGTCCCCATAGCAAATCAGATTGAGGCATCAACACTAGGAGGGAAGGGGGAAAAAGTTTAACTCGCCTCAGATGACAGTCACAGACATAGATCCCCAAAGATTACAGAATCACAACGGGAAGTCTTAAATAAAAAGGCCAAAATTATTTCAGCAAAACAAGAAGAGACAGGTTAATCTTGTACATCATGAGCCAATCAGTCACATGCCCAGTTCACTATGATCTTTATCACTTAAACCAAATTGCTGATTTTACTAACTTTTATTTTTTTGGCATGTAGGGGTTTTGGAGATGGAAGCAGATAATTTAACATCAAGGAGTATTTAAACATGTATCTGGGAGAAACAAGAAGCAGAACCCATGTCTTATGAGGGGTTGTATATGAGGGGATGCTTAGAGTTGGAATGTTTCATTTGGGACACCCAGCTACCCAACCAACCAATTGTTTCTAATTCTACGAAGACCATAGTGATTTTTGCCAGTATTTACCAACTCAAAAATAACAAATACCAACCTCTGAATGCTTGAAAAAAACATCATCGTTCTCACTTTCTTTGCTGTAAAAGAAAAAAGAATAAGCAAATTATAAATGTAAAACAGAATATCTTCAGAAAACAAACAGACTGAGGTACACTTGGCTTCTAATATTTTGATTGCTGAAGCCTACATGCTGAGAAAAGATCTGGGTGTGCTTGCTAGTAAATTTAGCAGAGAGGCAACATTCAACGTCCTTGTGCTTCAGGTTGCTATCCTATCCACCTCCTCTTAGCAGCTATTTGTGGAAAATATAATAGAATTAAATTCTGATGCCCTTCATCCAAACAAATTAAAAATCTCCCAACAGACATCACCATCAAAATGATTAATTCTCACTCAGGTGAGCCTCTCTCAGCAATTAGAAGTGTAGACAGCTTATGATATCCTGAGACCATGCCCTGTTGCTGCACTGAGGATCTGTCTTGGGAGGATGGTAACAGGGCACTTGCTCAGGACCACTCTAAGCTGTCTAAACTTCCAATTGTCAGTGCATGTGGAGTGGGAGGGTCTCATTTCTTCACAGCACTTGCAGACATGGCTTTAAGGCACTAGCTTCTAAGAAAACACAAATTCTTTAGCTTGCCCCCATCACCACCTTCTGTTATCTGTGGCACTGGAGGCATGTGGAGGTAGGATAGAGGCCTGCTTGCATAGCTTGTACCATTATACTGCTCCAATGTGGGCCTAACATGGTGAAGAAGACCTTTCACATTGTTTAAAGTCCCCTCCATGTTCCTGAGCAGTAAGAGCACACAGCACCACTTGGAAAGGAAAACACATGCTATAAAAGTCACCTTTCTTCAGATACAACTTCCATATCGTCGAGTCCTGTGCTGTCTACAGACCTTGGTGAGCTAAAGCTTTCCATACTCTGTAATACAGTAAATATTAAGACAATAAGATGTATGAAGGAAGAAATGCTGAAGGCCATTATCAGAATGTACATAAAAAACTAGATGCTGATCACACATTTCTCTTTTATACAGACACAATATAAAAAGCCTATTTTATTACCCATTTTCAGCAATAAAAAAAAAAAAAAAAAAAGTATTTTGCAGTTTCTTAGCATCTTTCACCAAGAGGCCTCAAGTTATTCACATGGAGCAACTAAGTGAAGTAAATATTATTGTCCCCATTTACTAGGTTGAGAAGTCAAAGGAAAGGGGAGTTACAGTGATTGTTTGAGCAGTGTAAAAGCGGGCAATAAAATCAAGAAGATCTGCCAGTTGGTCCTCTCCCCTCCCCCACATCCCTATCCAAGATCACAATATCAAGTATTTTAAATGTAGACATAACAAAATGATATATTATCAAAATAATTTTCCATTCAGTCCTGTTCGTGTTGATCTCAAGAAGAACCCCTTTCTTGAAAATGCTAAAGAGGTGAAAAATGCAAAAATGTATTGCTACTGGCAGGGAGATAATGCAAGCTACCACAATGTGAATGCAGGACAAGAGATTAACATCATTATAGGATCTTGTTTTGAGATTTGCTTGTATCGCTTTGTTTATCAGCTACAAAGTACACTAGTGTTGTCTTTTATCTCAAGCTTGAAAAAGTATGATAAAAGGCAAATCGTAAAGCTAGTCTCTGTTTGGGTGTGTAAAAAATGCTTATAAATCACTTATTTCATTGGTACAGAGATTATTTCAGTAGCCACAGAACATACATCTATTTGTGTCTCTTAGCAGTCTCCCAGCTACATTTTTAAAAGGAGCATAAAAAAGAGATGACACAGAAAAGTGGGGTCACAAAAATATCTACATTTGCATGTATACACAAAGAAATGGCCAAAGCAAACGCACAATTAGAGATATGTGGTAAATTTCTTGTGGCTTCCTGGAGGTAACAGATGTGAAGAATCTAACCCTTCACTTGAATTATAATTTTTTTAAGCAATTATCACTCAAAGATACATATTCCATATTTGTAAACAACACACGTATGTCACATACTTTTTGCTGAAGACTATTCATCTCTATATTGTCTATAAATGAGGATAAATAGGAGGGACTGAATAAAGACGACATGTAAAGAAGTACTGATTGGCCATTTATTTATAATTGTTTTCTGTTCAATTTTTTTTTTCAGATTGCAAGCATATTGCAGAATTCCCCTTATGCTACGCTTAGACAAAGAGGTTATGTTAACAAGAGAAAAATCTTTCAGATCTAGACCTTCAGATTAAGGTACTGATCACCACCAATTCACGCAGGCAAGTATAATTTTTCAATTCTAATGTTTGGATAAGTCTCCTTCTCTGAAGACAAGCTCTGGCAAGTTTAAATAGGAGGAAGGAAGTCCTCTGGCAGTGTAGTAAAAGGCAGTTCCTGGACTGTACACAAGTACAAAATTCCAGAGATGTGGATCATAGAACTTCCTTCTTTTTCAACATCCCAGCAATCCTGTTCTGTTGATCATAAAATAAAATCACAGCAGCCATGTTACGGGTTCAGCCTTGCTTTATGGGCCTCTTCCAAACTATTTATGCACAATTTAAATGACTAGTGGCACAGAATGAGTTTTTTAAATATTAACTACTTGGTTCTGCTCAGAAGTTTCTCTTATATTGCCCCTTACACTGAGTCAGGATATGCACCTACGAGTGTTTCCATACAGTACTCAACTAACCCCTTCAAGCTTCGTGGACAAGTTGGATGAGGAAAGAGAAGCTGTGGAAAAGGATGAAATGGGAGGGCCTTAAAGCTATGCCACAGAATTAATTTGGTAAAAGATAAAAGGTATGAATTTAAAGCAGAAGACCTACATCAGTGCTGTGTAGGCACACTTCTGGTAGAAGTCCAAAACAACAAGGTCCAAGCCAAGCCCACATGGGCCAGTGAGCTAGTGTGGTAAGGCACATCACAAGGTATTGATGGGGATAGCATCACATCCAGGAGCCTGTGACTCACAGTCAGAAGAACCAGTAACCCATATACAGCTGGGCTGACTAATATGAGGCTCAAATTCATCCTTCTGGATTAGTAGCAAGGCACACTAACCTCTATTGCTTTATCCTCACCACTAAAAGAGTGCCTTTTTTGGATTATCTGTATATTGCTTGAGATGGGATTTAACTGTACCAGTACAAGTGGCAAAACTTTCCTGTGTAGACAAGCCCTCACTATGGATTTATACTTTGCATGGAACAATGAGGACTTTGCTGTGATTGGGACTGCTTGGTTTTATTGCAATATAAACATGAAATAAATAAAGTTCAATTTCTATGCCAGCTCAAACAGCCTCTGCTGCTTCTCATGAGTAGCAGCTGTATGAATATATCAGCATACACAGAAGATGTCCTTATAATTCTCCCACCTATTTGCTAAGATGTCCCTGTGCACTGTACTGTTGGCAGAGGCCGACTCTTTGCAGTGCATTCTCTATTTTGTGTGGCACTCTCCTTAAACAGTCAAAAATATTCCTTATGCTCCCATTTGACATTTCAGTTTAAGTGCATCTTCTGTCAAACCACAGAAAAGACAGAGAAGATGACCACAGTTCCTTGGTGTGCTCTGGGTAGTTACAATAATGATCCTGACCTCTGCAAGATCTACCTTTCAGGGGTGGAGCACAATACAGGAGTGTGAGAGAAAGATGTTTTGGGCAATGCAATCATACAGTCTTTCATTGGAGTCAGATACTAGAGTCTCCCCAACCCATCCCACCTACCAAATATCTATTTTACTAGTTTTTCCCTCTCAAAGGCGACAGTCTGGCACCGTCTCATTTGCTGTAAGGACCATCTGTACTCCTTTGACTGAGTGAGGAGGCTTGGAAGAGCGTGCTGGTATATTCTCCCACTTTAAGACCACCACTCTAGTTAGGCCCTCTCATTTCAGTCGTAGTTGCATGCATACATTCAAAACCCAGAATGTGGTCCTAAGTCTGCCAAGACTGATTTCCTCCGGATTGATTTAAAAGAAAGTAATAAAAAAAAAACACTTTTCACGTGATCTTAGAACATCACTGCTTCATTTGTTAAAGATGCAACTGTAAGAATAACAATAACCCTCAAAGAAAACAGGACAGCCTGTCTGAATAAGAGAAAGGACAAAGCCAACCACACATACTGTTTGTCCTATGGGGAAATTACTGAGCGTTCAGTCCTTGCCACCTGTAGTATCCACAATGATAATACTGCAATTATTAGGAGCCATGTGCCAGAGAGTTAGTGGGTCATTTTGGGGAGGCTGCCTGCATGGTGACTGCCTCTTGAACACCCAGGTCAAATGCCAATTGCACGTGAGCCTCAAGTGCTTAAATGTGCCACTTGCAACAGCTTTTAAAAATATGCATGTTGCAAAGAGCACAGATATTCAATTGTATGCAACAGGATATTGATTTTTCATGATACACAGAGCCTATGGTCCTTTCTTCCCTGTTTGATCAATTCCTATTCCACCTACTACACACAAAAAGCCAATTCATTCACTTTGGAATTTGCATACACTTTACTCTGAAATAATCGTGGTTTTGTAATCTAAACAGGAGATGTCAGAACACAACGTACTTTTGCCAAACAAATATGTCCCATTTAGCAGGCGCTCACCTATACCAGACTTTGGAGCACAGCCCACTAGAGTCAGAGGACATACGCTACAGCTGGGAATGCATAATTTTTCTAGAGGCATTCTAGTACTCGTGGCAGTATTAACAGTTTGTGGGGTTCCACTTGGACTGCACTGAATGCCTGCCTGTCTTTAGCAATGGACTGACCTTGAAAAATGCTGTAGACTCTAACCTACTAACACAAAATTTGGTGTTTGGATTAGCTGGAGGGGGGAAGGCAGTTGTATCAAGTATCTTTGCAGCTTGTCCCTGTGGGCAAAATGTCTTCTACCCAGGTGTGTCTATACACGCATGTTAATGTGAAGCCAATAAAAACTCCGGAGCTTCTTGCTCCAGGTGTGCCGTTTGCACAGGACCACCGCATGTTGAGCTGGGTCAGAGCATCCCCGGCTGGCAGGGGGCCCCAGAGCTTAAATGTGCTGGGGAGGGGCTGGCTGGGGCACTAAAGTGCTTCAGTGTATTGCTAGCCAGCAGGCAGGCCCTATACTGGAGCACCCTTGTGCCCCAGCCAGCCAGGGCAGTGTCTACACGCATGCTTCTGCGGAGTAAAAATAACTCTGCAGCAGGATAGTATTTACAAGTACTATTCTACTGTGGAGTAAATTAATTTGCTACAACCTAACAGGGGTGCATGTGTAGATGCATGATGTTCACTACACAGCTAATTAGTCTACTGTGTGATAAATGTCTTGTGTAGACATGTCCCCTGAAGGTCAAAGAGGGACTACACATATGCTATGACTCAATCTTACAGGCTCCCAATGTAAATGTGTGCATCCCAGAGGCTGCACACATACCACTGTGCTTATAATTTGCAGAATATTACATCTGTACCAGCCATGTACATCACCAAGAGGGAAGAGGTAACTGAACAGATCAACTTTTGTTCCAAAAAATTCCCAAGCATTTTGCGAACTCCACGTGTAATACCATTCCTCACACACCTCCATCCACCCTAACCTCTGCCCCAGAAGTGCAGCCACTGCTAGCACGAAGTGACATTAAACTGTGTATAACATATTGGACAGCTCACCGATTATGCCCCTGCCACTCTCTCACTACATATCACTTGTTGAAAACATACAGTGCTCCAACTCAAAAATAGCTGGGATTAAAAAAAAAAATTAAGGGGGGGGGGGGGGGGGGGAAGAAGGAAAATGGAGGGGAATTCACAGAGAGAGAGTCCAATCTATGACCCATTAGACCCTTGCAAAATTAGGGGCAAACTTCATTTCCTTACTCTGGTTTCAAAAATATATTGTTTTGCACTGTTTAAAACAGCAAAATAACGAAACATTCCGAGAAGAGAATCAGCTCGGCGTAGATTCTGAGGGTCAAAATCTGGGCCTTTCTCTGCATCTTTACTGCACTAGTTTGGGGCCTGATCCCCAAAGGTCTTACAAATGCAATATGCAAACAATTATACCTCCGAAAACAGTTATTCAAGATTTAGGCAATGGAAAGTTCTGATGCTTGAATGGAATGCTCTTTCACAACAAGAACCTGGCCATCTCTGCAAACTGTGCAGCATGTTTGCTTACCACAGGGTTATCCTGGTTGTCATTAAGCTCAGAAAGCTTGGTGCTGGATTTCTGCCGCTTTGGTTTATTCCTCTCTCCAATATACCCCGAGTTGTTGTCTTGTAATTTTTCTGCTTCCTGAGCAGTCAGAATACAATCTTCAAGGCTGCTGAATCCAGAGGGAATGTTTTCTTTGTTGATGACCTCCCTAAACAGAAAAGTTACATGGCTACAAGCTGTTCTTTAAAGATGTTGATGTCCTACTATATTAATGATAACAGCATAAAATCCGAGCTACAAGATCAGCTCAGGTGCAGAACATCTCTTGAGAAAACATAGGTGGGGATCAACACTTTGGACCCTATCCAGCTGTCACTAGTACCAAGGATACGAATGTCAATCACTTCAGTGGAACCTGGTGTAGGTCCTTGATGTACAATTGGTTATTTAAGCTTAGGGTGGCAAATTTTAGCTTGGGACAATTTTTAAGTGACCAACAACCGTTAATTTCTGTTAACTAAGTGCAAAATTTTGGTACAGCTTCCATACGGACTCTTGCATGTGCTTTCAGGCATGAGAGTAAGCATAAGTAGAAGACAGAACGGGAATGAAAGTGCCTCCTCAACTGTAAGTGTAGTGCTGTGATAAAAGTCTGCATAATATGCTGTGTGGTATGTGAGTGGGATAGCTTGCTTAACATCTTCTTGTATGACACTAGATTTTTGTTACACCTTGTTGGATATGCAGGCATTTTCCCAAAATGTTGTCAATTTTGGCTCCTTGGGTATAGTCGGAGGAGATAGGGGATGGGGCATTCCCTGCATTTGTCTTTTACAATCCACTGCCCTGTCCTCTTAAACAGGGCTCTCTCTATTTTGTGTAATAAAAGAGACCTTTACAAAATGTATGCATTACTGTATTCTTTATATTTGCATGCAATAATGTATTTTCTTTTTCTTAAACTCTGTGCTCCCCCAGGTCAAATGCAGGTCTGTCATGCTGGAATGTTTGGTAACTGTTGTAAGCCTGCTGCCTATGCAAGATCATGCTATTCTGAAGCCCAAATTCTGCCTACAGTGACTTCAGCAAAGTTGCTCTAGATTTGCACTAGAGTAAATAAGAAAAAAAATTGCTTCAAAGGGTTTGGACTATGTTAATGAGCCACAAAGTATTCAGATTTTTTAAAACTCCTTTCAGTCGCTTTCTAGTTCATGATTCAGTGCGTCACAGGAAGAGCAAGATGAAAGAGAATCCTACAACCAAATCTAGAAGATATTATTTTATCTCTGCACTATAATTATTATAACCTCAGCCAAATTGATCCATTATACCAGGCTGTAGAACTTGCAATGTACTTAGTGCAAGTCCATGTACATATTTATGTAGTAAATACTTTCCTAGTTTTAAATTGCACGGTAGTTTAAGTCAGTGACATTAAAGAGCCTCTTTAAACTTACGTCCAAGCAACAGGGAGACAAACCCCAGCACAATTTGTCTCTCTGAGGCCACAGAAATGACCCGATTCTCCAAAGCATTGTGTTTAAAAATGGCATCTGGGGTTTGGGAGTCAATTATAGTATTGATGATATAGTACACACCTGGGTTAGAAAGCATTAAGGCAGATCTGTAAAGCAATGTGGAGGCTGCACAGTAGGGAAAAATAACCCCTGCAGTACTATATGCTTCTAAACACGTACATTAGCCCATCTCTGACCTACTTACCTGAGAAGTCTGTTAGCATGGCTACTAAACAGGAAAAACAACTCTGGATTTATAGCCAAATGCTTCTATGGCTTGAAAGCCCAAATCCCCAAACCAGATTGTCAACTTGTCTTCATTTGTATAGAAATGCTTTTAGTGTAATTGTTGTTCTCTACTTCATTAATGTTTACACACGTGTCAAGCAGCATGGACTACAATTTGCAAACCTGTGTTCCTAAAGTTAAACTCCTATGTAAAAGCGACTTGACTGTATAGGTGCTAAAAAACCTGCAGCTCCAGAAACTTGGCATCTTTGAAAATTAAATCCTTATTTAGGGGACTCATTATGGACATAAAGCCTAACTTCAGAACTTAGGCCTCCATCTCATGGATATTTATAAACACAGTGTACTACAGTAGGACTTGAACATTAGGACTATGCAAAGCTTTGGTCGCCGATTCTATTTGGCAGAGATTCGGCCCGATCCGGTGGCCAAATCTCTGAATCTGAATCAAATCAGGAGACCCTTTAAATCTCTCCAAGTTGAATCAGAGAGATACGATGATTCAGACAGACACAGCTCTAAATGTTTTTTCTACATACCTCAAGGTACCAGGCGGCTTGTGACCGCTGAGATGGTGGGGCGGATAGAGCGTCCCACAGGGGGTCCCCAGCATGCTTGGCGGTGGACCCGGAAGTGGAGCAGAAATATTTCTGATCCACTTCCAGGTCTGCTGCCAAGCACTCAGGGCCCCCCACCGCGCTTCTGTGGGACGCTCCATCTGTCCCACCATCTCAGCATTCTTGAGCTGCACCTGGTATCTCGAAGTATGTAGAAAAAACATTTAAAGCTGTGTCTATGGCCGAATCACTGATTCTCTGACTTGGCATTGAATCTTAAGATTTGGATTCAGCTGAATCAAATCTGGGCAGTGATCTGAATCAACAAATCGAATCACTGTCCCCGATTTGGTTCAAATCTGAATTCGAATTGAATACAGCCTGTTTTGCACACTCCTATTGAACATGCTTGCAGTTAAGCATATGCAAGCATTTAAATCACCAAGGCCTGGGTTTCAAAATGTTGGCTATATTATACCATTCTACTGTCCTTACCACCCTATAGAAAAATATATTCAGTTTCCCTCACACTGTTGTTAGTGGACATGCCTTTGAAACGTGAATATTTCTATAGCAGTGTGAATACTTCCATAGCATAAGCTATAGGTTACCTGTATAACACTGGGAAGAAAGGAATACTATGCATCATTCTTAATCCTTGAGAAATAGTTAATGAAAATAGTGCCTAGCTTTTTAGAACAAATGAGATAAAATGTTTTTTTTTCCTTGATTAATAAAAAAGAAAAAAAACTTTGCTTCTTCGTGTAGCTCCATAGTACCCCTACAGACCACTAAAAAACTCCCCCAAAAAACCCCAACCTAATGTAAGCTGTGTCTCCATGCATGAAATGAGTTTGGTCCCAATTTTAAAGCCTTTTTTTTTTTTTTTTTTTTTTTTTTTTAGGAAAGCATCTAAAATGGTTATTTTAGCCCGAAAAGAATCTCTACACACTGTGCTTCAGTCCATTCCATTACCACTAATAAAGCCCCTAGCTTTGCAACTCCCAGCTCCGGCTAATGGCAATGGAGCTGCATACAAGTGCAAAATCATTCCTTGCGCTAAAACTTGTAACAGGGAAGATCCTGTCAAAGTCTCACTAAGTTAACGTGCACAACATGATGCAATCAATCCTGTATAATTGTTTAAAAAAAATAAAAATCAGAATCATACATGTCTCTATTTCTTCGGGCTTCATCTTGCTCTTTGTGATGCCGCCGCCTCTGCTTAGCAGACACGTTGGAAGAGGTTGAAGATGTTCCTGATTCAGAGTCCTCTGAACTCTGCCCTCCTGAGCCATGAACATCAAAAAGGTGCTGTTCCACAGCTGAGCGGATTGTCTTCTCTAAATATCTGGCAAACCGAACAGGCAGGGTAAATGGATGGACTGACAAGAATTCCTCTCAAAAAAACCAACCAAACAACCAACCTCGCCTCCCGTTCTCCTCCAGATACACACAGACTTTTTTTTTTTCTATATTTCAACATCATAAAATATACTTGGGATTGTGCACACTTGTAGTAAAGCCCCTGTTAGGACGTGAAGACACGTCTCGGAAATGCTGAGCCCTCGTGGTTTCCACTAGTGTCCACAGATACTGTGGCTGCTCAATACTTCTGTGAATCAGGCCATTTTTTCCCATCTCCCTGATATGAATGCAAGTGCCTAACTTTGGCCTCCCAAGTTAACAGCCCTTGCCCTGAAGGGTTCACATTTGTTTGAAATTCGAATTCAAGATTGAAGTGATTAGAAAACCAGTAATGACCCGAGAGGCTCTAAAATTACAGGTTTGTTTTAATTCACTCCCAGTTCTGGAAGGAAAAATTACCCTTCTAAAATGTGGTGCACAGCCAGAGGGAAATGACAAGAAACTCTCTGAGCAATCCTATGAAAGCAAACTTGTGGGAAAGGTATGTTACGTTTGGATTGTTAATGCATGCTTGAGGCAACCAGTCTGTCATCCCTGCTCTGACCTGCTCTGCATAGACTGAGCAGAGCTGGAGGTGGTGCGATGTGGGGAAATATGCCTACAGTGCCACAACCTAACAAGCTATGTGTACTTCCCTTCTCTGCCCAGTGTTGGACCAGTGCTGTTGGTCCATACAAAATGAGGCTGGGGTTACAGCCTCATCTCTTCTTTAATCTTCCTTACTAATTTTGGGGTGAAAGACTCCCAGAGAAGCTAGAAATAAACGCAGACAGTGCATGTAAAGATTGATGACAATCTGCTACAGCTTCACCAGAAAGGAAGGCTCTGTGAAATGAAAATATTTAGTGTTCTACACATAAGGCTGTGAATGTGTGCGCAGCAAGGTATGCAATGACTATATGCTAAGAGCATATAGCTGAAAGCATGGTTAGTTAGAGAGAATAAAATGGTGACCAATATTCATACATGCTCCTGATGACTGAATAACAGGGAGATTTTCAAAGACTCAAAAGGCAGTTGATGGTTAAGCGGAATCAGTTGCCCATTGTGTCTTGGAAAATCTCCTCCCCAATGTACTCAAGTCATTCTCACATTTGAACTTCTTAGAAAGGATATCATTTGTTATGATGTCCATGCCATCTGAGCCCTTAACTCAATAAATAATTCCAAGATGGTTGATCTTCATTTCTGTGATATCCTTTCGGAAAAAGGATGTTGTTCCTTATCTGTTCTTTTTATAGGAACTAGTTATTCCTTATATGTTTTCTACATGGAAAATTTACCACTCCAGGAATGCAATCTGATGTAAGATACATTATTGTAGTCAAAACCCTCCCTCATTTGTTCATAAGAACAGAGAAGTCAGCCTAAACAAAACTAGCAGGTTTAATCTGACAATGGCCAGCAACCTTTGCAGCATTCATATGAAACAGAAGTGAAATATTAAATATTATATAAAGGCTGGCCAGGAGCCGCTCTAATTAAAATGCCATCCCTCTACCCCCGGAGCATGTGTATAGACACGCAAAGTTCCTTCTTTTTTCATAGTTTCCTATATTCACAGGCCAGAGGAACTTCATGGGTAAAGTCTGAGATCAATCAACTTGTTTTTCAAAAAGTTTTTAAAATGTATTCCTATATTTTGAAGGGGTTTCCCCATGTACTCTGGAAGACCATCTCTCAAAAAATGGCTTGACTACAACTTCCAAATTTCTTTAATTCTGTCTGCAGTGAAATTTAGCGCACAAAACATTTTTTCTAGGGAGCTGGCTGGCTAATTCCAAACTGATCAGCTATGAATATGTGACCCTGTCTGTGGGTGGTGAAGTCTCCAAAGAGATCTTAAGTCTGTGCTAACTTTTGACTATATTGATACTGAGTTTATAATTTAAACATCATCATAGACAAAATGTGATTTAATTACAATACAGGTATATGTATCAGATACTGGTAAGAATCCCCCACCAAACTAGGGGACTTCAACATCAGGTGAATAAGAGGACTTGGAAGCTCTTTGGGACAGGGACTGCTGTTTATTTCTAGTTTTGCAAAGCACCAACCATTCTTGGGTCCTACTCTGTGACTGAGATTGCTAGACAGTCAAGTGATACAAGTGAATAAGAGGATAATACTGTGCAGCAAGTTTGAAGTTCTTTATTTCCCCATGTTCTGTACCATCAAAACATCCCAGAGGGCATGGGAAAGAAGAAAGGAATCATTATACTTGGTTTATTTTCACTACAGTAATTTTAATTTGGGGCAAAAATAAACTCTCTTTGGGTAGCACTAGGACATTAAAGAAAAATAAAAGAATTAAATACATATTTTTAAAAATGTAGGTATACAGAAAACAGTCACAACATTTATAAACAGAGTCACTTACTCTCCAGTA